GTGTTTATGAATAATGATTTCAATGTTTTTTTTTTGGGGGGGGGGGGGGGGTTTTTTTAATTCAACAAAATTCAAATTGCCAAAGGTGAGGATTCCGCTGGAATCCTCGTCCTTTGGGGGCTTGAAACTTGAGGGTCCCAAAGGTGAGGCTTTTGATCTCTCACAACCAATGTGTCTAGATTTGACACAGACTGACAGAATTGGGGTTCTGCCATCTGTTGAGGATTTCAGTGGAATCCTGGGGGATCTTAGGAAGGCCATCTGTGTGGATTTCGATGAAATCCTTGTGGATCTTACAAAGGCCATCCGTGAGGATTTCGACGGAATCCTCGTGGATCTTACAAAGGCCATCCGTGAGGATTTCGATGGAATCCTCGTGGATGAGGTAGGACCTCTTGGACTCTCTTGGACTCTCTTGGACCTCTCGATGTACTGCAAATTAAAAACAATAATAAAAGCAAGAACCCGACAAAAAAAAACACAAAACCTCGTGGAGGGGTCCCAAAACCTCGTGGATGACTAGCTGGGCTCCAAAACCGCCTGGGGGGTACCAAAACCTCGTGGATGGACACCAAAACCTCGTGGAAGGGTAAGCTTACTACCAAAACTGATGTCCCAAAAGCTGTACTCCAGGTGGAAAATTAACTAAGCTTACAACAGGCAACTAGACAATCGACTAAGCTTACAGCAAACTGCTGCTTGCATGTTTTGTTCCAGGTAGAAATTCCACTAAGCTCACAGCAAACTGGTACTCACAAGCTTTGCTCCAGGTAGTAGAAATTAATTTTGGGTTTCAACAAGCTAGCGCCCCCAAGCTTTGCTACTAAGTTAAAAAACTAATCTCACAACAAACAGGTAGTAAATCCACTAAGCCTACAGCCGACTGCTGCTTGCAAGATTAGTTCCAGATAAAAAAGTTTCCCTAAACTCATAACAAACTGGTGCTAACAAACTTTGCTCCAGGAAGAAACCTTTTAAGCTTACAGCAGACTGGTGCTCCCAAGCTTTGCTCCAGGTAGTAGACAAATAACTAAGCTCACAGCAAACAGCTAGAAACAAGTTTTGTTCCAGGTAGAAGCTCGCAACAAAGTGGCGCTCACAAGCTTTGCTCCAGGTAGAACACATGTAGCAAACTGGTGCGCCCAATCTGTGTTTCTGTTTGAAATGTTTAAAAAGCTTTGCTCCTGTTTGAAAATCTAGTAGCAAATTAGCTTTGCTCAATGTAGAAAAACAACAAATAAACTCACAGCAATCTGGTGCTCCCAAGCTTTGCTCCAAGTAGAAAATATGTTCAGGTTTCAACAAGCTAGCACTCTGTTTGCTCCAAGCTAGAAAATCCAGTGGCAAGCTGGCGCTCCCAAAATTTGCTCCTGGTAGTAAAATAAATTGTTAGTCTACTGGCGCTCCCAAGCTTTGCTCCAGGTAGAGAAAGCAAACTGGTGCTCCCAAACGTTGCTCCAGGTACACACTCGATAAAATGTACAGCAAACAGCTGCTCTCAAATGTTATTACTCCGTATGCAAAATCCTGTAGCCATCTGGTGTTCCCAAGCTTTGTTCCAGGTAGGATATCCACTATGCTCCAAGCTTTATGGAACATTGTGGGAACTACAAGATGGTATCTAAAGCCTGCTGTAAGATTGGTTTGTTGGAGGTGCTACCCCATTGAAAAACAAACCTTGTTTCTGCGAACATGGCCAATCAGTTTTCAGCTCAGAGTAAAGAACACCATGCAAAACACAAAAAAGGTGAAGGTTGCTTGTTTGTAGGAATCTCCCAGCTCTCCCTCTGTTTGAGGTTCCCTGCTGCATAAAAAGTAGATCAAACACCTCAGCTCACACAAACGACAGGATGATGTCAAACATTTAGTGTACCATCGTTTAGTGTTTATAATATCTGTCTAGCACCCTTGGGGCAGGTTCCTACAGACCGCGATGACACTCGAGTGTGTGCATCTACCCATGCAAATGCCACATGAATGGATGTATCGGCGTATGCAGTTGCATCAACAGGCTGCTATGAGGCAACAGAAGAACTGCTTGCAACAATCACTCATATTCCATGCCAGAGCTTTGCAGCTTCAGGACTCTTTGTTCGACCAATGGTTTTATTACAAACAATTGAACTAAACCCCCATACAGTTGAAATGGCCTGGCAGCCATGATAGAATCAGTGCCTTTGTAACAATGAAGGCGGAGGATTCCAGCTGGAACTACAAAGATGCATTCCTCACCGCTTGTGAAGAATACAACCATTTTGGCGCTGCTTCCCAAAACTCCCGGCTTCAGATCGACGAGGGTACAGCTTTGAAGCTATATGGGTTGAAAGTTTCCTGGCTGCTTTTGTTCTGAAAGCCTTTTTCAGATAATAGACTGATAGACTTGTTAGAATGTGTGTTTCATCTTGTGTTTTGTACAACTTTTCTTCCTGTACTCCCCACACATAGAGATTGCGCAATGCTTCTTAGGTTGGGCTGACAGACCGGAATTGGGGCCTGGTGGAACGTCACTTTCATGCATTCCGTGTGGAGCGCTCAGGACACAGTGCTACAGAAAAGAACGTCCCATGGTGTTCCTGATTTAAAGCAGTGATACAATTAACTATAATTAATATTGAATGCATCTTTAAGAATATAGAGAGTTCATGCAAAAGGGTTTAAGGCTTTTATAGGATGTTTAAAGTTGTTGCTCTCTGATTTTTGGCGTCCTCCCTGCAGCTTTCTCACGAGAGCATCTGCTGAGCGAGCGCTGGTTGTTGGGTTCCAACTCTCGCATGGCAGACCATTGCTGGCGGGAGATCCTTTTGATGGAGCCCCACAAGCAAGAGTTGTTTGTTGAGCGGCTGCTCTTTCTTCATCGTGTGGCCACTCAGCGAAGTACTACAGCATCTCAGAATGTTCGACTCTCGGGCCAGCAGTTTGAGAAGGAAGTGGATGCAGCCTGCTTGGCGGGGCATGTGCTGTTGAAGATGAAGCAGGAGGTCAACCCGACCAAGTGCAATGCCAGAGTGTTCAGTGACGCTGTCATCCTGACCTGTCACCAGCGCTTTGTTGAAGGGATTCTTGGCTTGTTGTTTGGTAACTGATGTTTTTTGTCAATCGTAGTCGTCACTTAGTATGTTTTTCTATTGTCTGTTTGTCGTTTTGTCACTCAGATTGTCAGTCAGTTAGTTGGTTGGCTATCATCGGTTAATATTTACTTTTGGAGGTATATCTTTTGGTTTCTTTGTTAAAGAGAGAGTTACCTGGTCTCTTTCCCTCTCTCTTTAATTAATTAATGTTGGTTTCTAGTTTGTTTCTGTTTGGACTCCATGGACATTTGTTTGGGAAGCCACATCCCAGGGACTACTTCGAGAACCTTCAGTCACATATTGCTTGCTCGGATCCGTGCTTCGATCATACCACCGTGGCTATGTGGCAGGAAAACGCGCCCGTCAACACCAAGGATGCTGATGATGCGCTGCAGTCGGCAGAGCGCCAGATTCAAGCCTTTGAGAGCAACAGAAACGATGCTACTTGGCAGTCGGACTGTCTCAAGCTTTGCCGTGATGTGTCCATGTGCGCGAAGATGCTGGAGGCAGCGGAGCGGAATGAGCGAACCATGAGGTTGGCTCGAATCACACACCTGAAGGAGCAAAACCGTGTGGGCGCTAGTGTGGTGACCACCTTCACAGAGAAGAATTGTATCCACATGCCGCTCGCAGCTACCAATGCTGAAGCCAAATTGGGAGAGGCAACTATGTTCAAGGGCTCTGACCTTTTTTGTTGTTGATATAGGTTTACATTTAAATGAACATTGATGCCATGGGAACTGTTTGAGAATCAGTAGACTACATAATATATGTTCATCTACACCTTGAACCATGTACTCGTCAAAACAATCGGCCCTGTGCAGTTTATGAGCGACATCTTCTCACAGAATGGCGGCGTGGTAGTTTGGGTCGACCTCATGAAGTTTGGCCGCTTAGCAGGCCATGAGTTGGACACGATGGCTTCTACCCTGAAGAAGGTGCTTAGCAGAAAAAGCAGCCACTCTTGCGCGTTCTTGCTGGCTCCATTTCTTTCGTCAGACAAGGTTTCGAACGGCATCCGTGGAGAAGTAAGGACAGTGGTATTTGTGCATACGACACTATTGAATACTGTGCCCTCAATGTCAATGCAATTAACCAAAACTTAATGTCTTTTCCAATCTTGATCCCATGTCCTTTGCACCCAACTCTCTTTGTGGCTGTGTATATGACAATCTACAGTTGTTGCCATTATAATGTGTTTACCTTTAACTATTTTAACTATAGTCTGTAATTAATATCTGTTTGTTTTCATCATTTTTACTGACTACCCACAGTATTCTCATGCTTGAAAACATTTCCTCAGGAGGGTGGAAGATAAACTGGATGCCAAATCCATTGTCTCCTATTCCGCAACTGTGCGATGCTCTCCTCCGGCTAGCGTGAAGAAAGTCCCTATTTCGTATCCTGCATGGATTTGCTTTCACGAAGGCAATGTCCAGGACAACACGTTCTTCCAGAGCATGTTCATGGTGGACAGGCCAGGTATTGGCAAAAGAATCACTTGCCGGGTTTGCTCTGAGTAGAAACATCTCAAGCTCGTGTGTCTTAGTTTATGTCAGGTATATATGAACTCAAGGTATATATATATATATATCATCATGTAATTTGATTTCCAGACACAAAACAAATCCTTGGATCACAGGTCAACACGGAATTCAGTGGCCTTCCTTCCGGAGTCTGAGTATATAGTTCCTTCCACAGGGAAAGATGCTCTTCCCAGTGCTGCTGAGGGACCAAGGTGCGCTTATGTTGTTTGATGACAGACTCTTAAGATTGAAAGGCACATCAAACAGTAGTAAACAAATGTACATCACATGCGTGTGTCTTCAAACTCCAACGGCCTCAGTTGTCTAAACACTTTGTGGGGTTGTCCTCCGATATGGCAACCCTGGCATGCAGAAATCGTTTTCAATCCCAACCCTGCCCAGATCCATGAGCGAAGCTCAAGAATCTGCCCAACTGTTGGCGGGGCCCGAACTGCCGACCATCGTGTTGGAGTCGATCCTCCATGGCTCCACCTTCAGTGGCAACAGCTGTGGCATTGTCAACCTGACACCCTATGATGGCCATTTGGAGCGTGTGTGCACTAAGTGGAAGCTCTCCCATGGACAGGATGCCCTGACCCTTAGGTCCTTTTCTTTGGGAATCAACATTGATCACGTGAGCTACAGCGAGAGAGTTGTGGCCAATGACCTTTTGCAGGACCAATTTGCAACATGCACTTTTTGCTAAACTCAATGCCCCTTCAGAGAAACCAAACTCTGAGCAATTACCAAATGTATTGGGCGCTTGAGTTTCCAATGTTCTCTACCAAGAAATGTAGCTAACTGCTACGTGTTGTTTGGCCACAATGGACTCTGATGGGCTGTAAACAAACCCAGGCGTTCACCATAATTCCATGTTTTGCACCTTCCAACAACCTCCAACCACCAGTGTCAAATCCTGTTCTGGGGACCTGACCAGGAGTGGAAGAAAGGCTGCAGGATCTTCGAGGGTCATCGCACCTATGATCCGCAGGTGGCAGCTTGCACCACACTTTCCGTTGAGGACTACCCAATGAAGTTCGTCATGGTTTCTGTGGACAAGACCCAGAAGGGTGTCAAACAGTTGAGCTTCAACCTGCCCAACTCAGTCAGGTTGATGTATCAGGACGATGCTGTGAGGTCGCACGAGTGGAAGCAATTGATTTTGGACTTTGATGCTAAGTGCCTTGGTTAAGATCACTGTTCATGGTGACAGTTTGGTTGGGTACCGTCGCAAACCTGTCTTTCTCCAACCACTTCATCGACCCAAAAAGTGTTTATTATATAGACAAGTTGATGGGCTTTGATCCCTCGCATCCTCAAGGAACAGTGATTAATACCTGTGTGTCTTCTTGACCCCCAACCAACTGGCCAGGTTCAATGTGGCACCTGTGGATCCGAACCAGGCTCAGATCGTGGCAGCATCGCCTGAGCCGGTTACAGTCTGGGAGGGAGAACCCAGCTCAATGGACGACCTGCTCAGCACATACATCGTTGAGAGCAAAATGTCATCGAGTATGGCTGGGGCTTCATTGTACTTGACTGTTTCTTCGACACGGGACGGCAATTCATTCAATGTGGTGGAGGGGCAGACTCACAAACTATTTTTGGTTGCTTGGGTCAACTTCGAACAACTGTCCAGTTCTTCTCACAAAGAGTCTGTCAAAGTTCAATCTGTTCAAGTTACATTTTAAACATGGTGGGTAAGTAGCAAACCAATCTTGTTGCATTTCTGGCCTAAGGTTGCCCATTTGGACATGAACTTGGATGGTTCTGCTCCTGTCATTGGTCATGGGAAAGCCAGCTACCTGGGGGAGCAGCGTGTCGCGAAGCTGGTTCGTGAGATGGGAGGCTGGCAACACCTTCTTGCACTTTCCAAATCCTTTCACTAACCACCATCATCATAGAGGTCACTTTTAGTCGGTTTTTCTGAACTGTATTGTCGAGACAAATTTGGTTCTTGGTGTCCCGGGCGCACATTGATCTCAATCATCTTGCAGCCATGTCCTCCTTGGAGCAAATGCTGGCCCACTATGGTCTGCAAGCGGACAGGGGTTAATAAATTAACACACGACTAACATGGTTCTTAGATGTTCTTAGAAAGTTTTTCATAAAAATCTTTTTGGATCTTTTTGGTGTGCGACGACTGGATTTTTGTCAGGATATCAACCACATGGTGGAGTCCAGCCCTGGGTGTTTGGAGACTCCACCTGTTCGTACCACCAGGACTGGTGCAGACGGTGGTTCTTCTTCTATGACTCCGAGCCCTTCTCCATCTCCTCTCAATCTTGCGCCGGCTATGAACGCAGCTTCAATCCCTGAGAACTCTGTGAAAGCAGCGGCCCCTGTGAAATCAGTGGCACAGAGTGGGACTTCTGAGATGGCGCCTCCACAAGAGGGTAAAGTACCAGTGACAGTTGTGATCCCTTCACAAGTCCAGACTCCACCAGAAGCCAAAACGGAGGGGCTTTCTCGCAAATCAAGTCAGCTTGGTCTATCAGTCCTGAAGGAGATGCCACCCAAGCCAAATCCAACAGTTCCTACTTTGCCGACATCTAGCGCAGCACGAAACGAGAAGAGCAATACGCTCTTGAGTGAAGATAGCAAGAGAAAGCTTCACCAGGAAGTCGATGCCGCAAAGGCGAAAGTCAAAGAGGACAAATCAGCAGCCAAACAGGCTGTCCAGAATCTGAAGAAGGGCTTTGTCCAGCCAGGTGTTGCTGAGCAACTTTCCCAGTCTCGTGGACGCGGAAAAGGTCGAGGAAAAGGTCGAGGAACAGGTCCTTCGACCACAGCAGAGGCAGAGACCACCGAGATGGAATTGCCTGAGATCCAGGAGGAGCTCGAGGAGGAGTCTGAAGGCGGAGACTCAGAGACTACTTTGCGTTTGGGCCAGGAACCCAAACCCAAGAAGAGGCCAGCCTCAGCAGTTTCTGCCAAGGCCAAACCCTCAGCTGCCACTCCAACTCCAAAGACCAAGAGCAAGGCCAAAAGCAAGGCGAAGGCCAAGGCCAAAGCTGCCATGAAGGGCAAGCGAGTCAGAAATGCCAAGGCCAAGTTAGTCTTTCGATCAAGAGTGGCAAAAAATGCCAAGACTTCGTCCAAGAGTGAGAGCACTGAGACTCAGAAGGGGGAGTCTGACGACTTGACTTTGAAAGGTGTCTACCACAAGCACTTGCGGGACACAATTGCCAAGTTGAAGGAGGAGGGCATGCCTGCGTCTGAAGCACTCGTCAATGCTCGATCCATGCCTGGTCCTCATTTGACTGTGAGTTTAATCAATGTCAAATGATTCTCAATGAAAAGACTTGACACTGACTGTCACTGTTTGTCATGTTTTTTTTGGACATGTTTGGACAAAGTTTGGCAACTCAGGTGGGAGGATCATCCTCGGCGATTGGCTGTCATGAGCAAGTTGTCCAAGTCGGAACTGTCTCGCCGTCGGCTCTCTTCAAAGACTCAGACCCGTTCCAAGCCCAAGACTCGCAAGACTGCGCCCAAGCCCAAAGCTTCAAAGGATGGAGCCAAGCACAAGCCTGCAGCAGTGGCTTCTGAAGCCAGGAATGGGTCCAAGCGCAAGGCTGAGCCCAAAGAGGACGACAGCAATGATGGCCAGAATGCTGAGGAAAAGCAGGACACCAAGCATGACGACAATGCGCCAAGTAGCCCCAATGAGTTCATGACGGCTGCGGACGAAGCTTTTGTTGCTCACGGTGATGTAGAGTCAATTCCGGAGTCCGACTGCCAAGATGAGCAGTAGAGTGGCTGTCCTTTTGATCGTAGTATAGCTGTTAGGCTTGCCATTTCTCGAATTGGCTGGCAGCAGCTGTTCCAATCTCAAAGGCATGGCCGGGGTAAGCCACGCCTGAAAGTCAGATCTTAGGCCTTGAGCTCTGAAAAGTAAAGGTCTGAGACTTTTCGACTCATTTTGCGCGTCCACTTTTTTGTCCTAAGACTCTTTGCAAGAGCATGCACTCTTTTCCTGAGAGTGGTTGGTTCATTTTGCAAAAGAATGCACTTGACTTTTGTTTATCTTCGATGTGGGACTTTGAAGGCAAAGCTCTGGAGTTTGCCGTGCCCTTTGAGGTTGCCAATGACCAGCAAAAACTGGTTTTGGAGATTCAGCAAGAAGGATCGAAATCCATGAAGGATTCAGAACGGGCCACATTGAGGGCCCTTCTTCAGGAACTGGAGGAGTCTGACATCATGGATTGCACGGTGCGCGCGCATCATGTTGTGCGTTTGTCGCCAATGGAGGGAGGAGGTGGCGGGGCTGCGTTATTGTTCGTTCATGGCCATAGCCATTTTGGTCACGCACCCCATCACTCTGTCTAAAAGAATCCAAATCAAATCAAATCACATGAAAAACCAAGTTTGATATGTTTCAATTTGTTTTCAACATGTCGTGCGAGGTTCAGGGGCACCTGTGGTGGATGCCTTTGATGTCAAGCCAAAGGACAAGAAGTTCCTAATGCAATGGAATCAATCCTTCAACAATTTGAAGCACTCAACTGTCGCCAGCTGCTTTTCGGATTCCGTGCTCCACTGAGAACTTCAATCACCGCCACAGAATCGTAACTAAATGTTGTGACATGTCTTCAAGTCAAAGCTATGTCCAAACCCTTCAAAACGACTGCCCAGGTCCTCATGGCTTCCAGGTGTGTGGAACGAATTTGGAGGGTGGGGTATGTGCAGCCAGATAACGAGCTCACACCCAAAAAACCGCTCTATTTTCTCAAAGAGCATATGATCAGTCGCCAGGTGTCCAAAAATGAGGTCATCCGGCTGGTCTAGAAGAGTTGTTGGTACAGGCCAGTTTCCATGGGGTTCAATGGAACGAGCTGCCTAAAAGGCCAGAGCTTGGGATGGATGTGTTTGTAGCAGCTTTGAATCAAGCTGCGTCAATACCCTGTGTATTGAGTTCGCACACCAGATCGGATCGATGCGCCCTGGAAAAAACTAAGCAGCGGACAGTTCTTCGGAGCAGCATTCACTCGCTTTGAGCCAGAACCAAGGGGGTTCCATAGCTAAAAGCGTGAGGGTCTTTTTCAAAAACAGTCTTTGGGAAATGGTACCACAGTCTGGACACCAAACTTTTCCAGAAACAAGTGGGTCAATATGTATCAATGAACCTGTGCAAACATGTGCAAGTCATTGCACTGATCTTGACACCAAACACGGCTGATTTCAATCCATTGTGTGTTGAACGCTGGAACATCTGGCAGCCAAATGTAACGAAATTGGCGCCGAATGAAGCGAAACTTCCTTTGATGCCGATGTTGCGGTGCAGAAGTTCTAACACTTGTGGATGTTCTCGTAGTTTTGCATGAGCTTCTTGGTCACTAACAATTGCTTGGTCTCGCACCCACAGGTTGTGGTCCACGTCCTGACTCCAAATCAGGCAGTGAAAATCGAATGTCTCTGCGAGCGCCCATAGTTCAACGAAAGACCCATGGTGGATGGAGTCCAAGGCTCGCGGTTTCTGTAGCACCGCAACTAGCTTGCTGAAAAGCACAATCTCTGAGTCCGTGAGATCTGCTAAGCTCGGGTTGGATTTGTGCGCACGCAGAAGATACTGCTTATGCAACTCTAGTTCATGATCATCGAAGGGCACGCAGGCAAGCTGAACGTCTTCTGCCCTTAGACCAGATTTCTGATTGCACAACCACTCCAACGCCTGCAGGTATAATTCTGCGGCATGCGTTATCGACCACGTGTTCCAATTGCTGCAGTGCCGACTGACGGCATGAAAGAAGCACCATCCGTCGCCAGGCACTTTGGTGATGTCACATCCGATCCGAGCTTGTGCCAGCTGATCCAAGTCAACAACTTCTTCTGCGGACTGGTTGTGCGTCGGGCTGTCTTCCGACGTCAACGAAGCATGCTGTGTAACATTAGCTTCAACTTCACTTTTCTGCTTCTTCAAAGGTGTTGGGTTCGAACTCTCACCTTTCGTTGTTGGGTAGGTGCTGGAGCAAGTTGCCTTATCCACACCTTTCTCTTGGGTTGCCAGCCTTTTCGCAGGGTGCATCGTATTCCCATGCAGTGCCCGCATCAATTGATTGCGGAGCTTGCGAGCGACGCACCACATGTGGTTGGCTTTAGAAGTCATTCAACACCATTGCATAGTCCTTTAAACCTGCCTGCTTTGTGCCTTTGAGGAAAAAGTTAGCACTAACTTTTCCCTTTAAAAAACATTTAGCCCTACAAAAGGCTAGGAAAAACTAATTAGAACTAAGAAAAGCTAAAAAAACTAAAGAAAGCTAAGACAAATACAAAGATCATCAGCCATGTGTGTCTTGTGAACCCATTCCACTTGAAACAAAATGTAAAAGAATTTTCAGGGCGGTGCATGAATTGCGTTCAGGTGTGTGCTTTGAAAAGGCTGGGAGTCTTGGCTTCACAACTCTGAACACAAGCCACCCCAATGGCATGGTGAGTGAAGTGGATGGTTGATTTTTGGAGTGTGTTCACAACAAACCATGGGTTGACATGTGAGGTGGGGTGCCTGACATGGTGCCTTTGCCACTGGCCTAATATTATGATAAGAGACCCACAGCCTAATATAGTGTATGACAAAATGGTGGCCTTGTTGGTTTGCCCAGTAAATGGGATGTTTGGTTGATGGCTTCCCACACTGCAGAGTCATCATTGGTACCAGTGATATATGATGGTACCAATGATGATGTGTCAAGAGCACACACAGCTAGCCATTTTCCACACTCTGATGGAACTCCAAAGGTTGTCAAAGGAAGCCACTCATACCACCTGCCAAGAAACCCATTCAAAGGTTCAGAACATTTCCATTGTTCACTCACCTCTTCCACATACAAGGGCTTCCTGCTCAACTGCAACCCTGCCTTCCAACATGATCATCTGATCAATTTGTGAACTTCCTCCACTCCAGGGGTTGCTGCACAAAAAGAACACTGCAGCCAAAAGAACAGGTTCACCCAAACCCCTTCCACATCCAAAACACTTAAATCAAGTGCAGGTCCTGCTCAATTGCTTCAATCTTGCCTCCACAAGAAAGGAAATTACCCAGATCGAAAATTGAATTTCCTCCAGGGGGTGCACAATGAATTTGGCAGGCTGCACATGAAAACAAAAGGCTTTGCCATGCATTTGCCAAATTGTTTGCACACAAGAGTAGGCATTCAAAAGAAGAGACCAAACAAAATGCAATGCATTATTTGCCAAAATGCTTGCGCACAAGATCAATCATATAAAAGAAGAGAAAGTGCAATGCATTATTTGCCAAACTGCTTGCACACAAGCTCAAACATTCAAAAGAAGAGACCAAATAAAGTGCAATGCATTATTTGCCAAACTGCTTGCACACAAGATAAGACATTCAAAGAAGAGACCAGACAATCTGCAATGCATTATTTGCCAAACTGCTTGCACACAAGATTAGACATTCAAAGAAGATACCAAACAATCTGCAATGCATTATTTGCCAAACTTGCTTGCACACAAAAGTAAACATTCAAAAGAAGAGACCAAACAAAGTGAAATGCATTGGTTGCCAACTTGTTTGCACACAAAAGCAAATAAAGAAGGGCCAAACAGAAGAGGCCATACAAAGTGCAATGCATTGGTGGCCAAGTTGCTTGCACAGCAAAGGAAACAAAGAAAGGGCAGAGGCCACACCTCAATGCATTGGTTGCCAGCTTGCTTGCACACAAAGAGCAAAAAAAAGAAGGGGCCACAAAGAACAAGCCACACAAAGTGCAATGCATGGCTGCCAAATTGCTAAGCAAACAAAGAAAGGGCAGGGGCCAAACCACAATGCAATGCATTGGTGGCCAGGTTTCTTGCACAAAAAAGGAAGCTTCACTGTAACAACCACAAGTGCCCACAAAAGGTCAGCAAAGGCCAGCCCAGCACCCCACCCACCCCCACCCAGCCCCTAGGATTGCATCAACCCCCAGTTTACAAAGCATTAGCTAGGTTGCTGGCACTTGCCTGCTGCAGACTCTACTTACTAAAGCTTTTTGCATACTGCTGATATACCTTGTACACACTGGTGGCAACTATCCATATGTTCATGTTTCCCTATTGCACTTACAAGCTTACAAGTGCCACAAGGCAAAGACTTTCTTTCCAGCACTGCACTGTGCTCAGGGTTGCATTTGCAACCTTCATTGGCCCACATCATTTCTTGGTGTATTTCTTGGGCTCTTCCATGGAGTTGATTATTGGCTCCAAAGCATCCAAGACATTCTGAGGGATCACTCCTGGGTCTTGCACAACCAAGTTTGAAGGCAAGCTCAAATGGTCTTTGACCAGCCTGAACTTCTGCCAATTGAACCTGTGCACCTCTTCCAATGCTTCCTTCCAAGGGCGAGCCTTATAAAATGTCTTGCTCATTGATTTCTGGCTGAAGGGTGGTAAAAGCTCCTCCTGGACTTTTGCTGGCAACTTCCAAGAAGACTGGAACCTCCAATCATTGAACCCAAGTCCAATGAAGCAATATGGTGGGGTGATTTGGGAGAGGATCTCATCAGGTGACTTGTGTGTTTTCTTGAATGGTGCTCTCACCTTGCCCACCTCTGCCTCTTTGTCTTCTGGGCTTGCAGCCTCCTCTGAGCCAGGCTGTTCCCCCCCTCTGGCACAGCAGCCTGCCCTTCCACCACAGCTGGCTTCTCTGGCCCCTCTGGCACAGCAGCCTTCCCTTCCACCACAGCTGGCTTGTCTGGCTCCTGCTCTTCCACCAGCCCTGGTGCTGCTTCTGCTGACCCTGGGTGCCCCTTACCACCACCAGCCTTGAACTTTTGGGCAAATTTGGCCATGAACTTGTTGGCTTGCTTCTTGTCTTTCTTGCCCTTACCTTTGCCCTTTGCTTTGCCTTTGCCTTTACTCTTGGATTTCTTTTTCTTCTTCCCCTCCTCCACTGGCTTGTCCCTAGCTGCTAGCTTTCTTTTCACTTTCTGAGTCTGCCTCTTTTGTGCCAGTTCCTTGAGATCCTGCCTGTTCCCATCATCTTTTCCCAAATCAGAAAGCACTTCTGAAAATTGGGAATCAATCTCAGAATCTTCTGTCTCCTTCTTGCCTGATTCCTCAACCTTCTTGAGGGCTTCTGCCTGCAAGCTTTTCTCCAAACACATGGAAATGAGAAGCTCTTGGTAGGCCCTCTTTGTTGCAGGCTTGGGTGGGGTTCCACCCAATTTCAAGACCAAGGCTTTCATCTGCTGGACTATTAAAGTTGCACAGCCCTCCATGCACATTGCAGCTTGGAGGGACATTGGGTCTCCACATTTCACCCAGCCCACTGGCCCCCTCACTTCTGTCAAGAGCCTTGGCTCTGTGGGGATGACCAGCCACTCATCCAAGTCTGTGATGTGGTACCAAGAGATGCCTGTGCTTTTCTCTACCAATGTGTATGCTACCTGCCCCCCCCAATGAGGTACAGGGGCAGCCTCACTGATCCAGCCAAGAAATGCATATTCACAGCTTGCTACAACCTTCACCAAGCTTGCTGAAGTTTTGTTTGCCAAGAACCACCCTCTCTTGGCCAGTACTGACAACCATGCCTCATTGATGCTGCATGTGTACTCTTGAGGTTTGCCACAAAACTTCATCAGCCACTCAGTTGCGCATACTGCTTGGAAGAGTGATGCTGGAGAGGGGCTTGGCCATGTTTGCCACCTACTCTTGGGGAGCATCATCTCCTGCAAGTTTCCAGTGAGTTTGTGGCCCTTGGTGGCTAGTTTCTTGGCTATGGGTTCTTTGAGAAAAGCAGCACCCTCCACAACCTTTTGTGCATTTGTCAGGCCAACCATTGGGACCTTTCTTTCTTCTAGGCATCCAGACCTGAGCACATTTGCCATGATCTGTGTGTCTCCAAATTGGTCATTCTTTGCACTCCTTTGCAGGTCCCTACCATGTTGGTGCAGATTCTCTATGATCCTTGAATCACCTAGGCACTTTGTGTGCACCAGGTGCAATGCCTTTGCATGGGAAGTCCTTTTGTTGCTCATATCTTCCTCATGTGCTATGAACAAAGCCCTGTTGAATGGAGACATCCTCCAGGCCATGCTGTTCAAGGGCCTTACCACAGTTGTGTGGGAAAGAGTTTCTGCAGAGAGCAAGGCCTGAAATTCCCTCACTGCCAATTCCTGGGCTGCTTTGCTCTCCTGTGCATCTTCAGAGAGCACATGGCAATACCTCATTGGTGGCAAAAGAAAGGCACTGGCCAAGCTAGCTGCCCTGCACTGCAGCAGGTTTTCCAACATTTCTGTATGCCACTGGAGTGTGTTGTCATGGAATGTCCATTCAGGCAGCAGGTGCTGGATTGTGTCATCTCTTGAGAGTGAGCAATGGGCCATCCCCACTAACTCTTCTTTCCATGCACCTTGCCCCACCTTCCTGATGTTCATGCGCATGACATCTTCAGGGCTCTTGATTGTTCTAGCCCTCTCAGCAAACTCTTTCCAAGTTGCCCTGCACACACTCATGAGAATCTCTTTTGTGGCTAGGTTCACAGGGTTGATCAGTCTTGGTGCCAACTTGTATGTACCAAGCCTTCTCTTTAGCTGTGCCAACTTTTCTTTCTCTGCCTTCTCATCATTGGCACCATCATCAATGTCTTTCTCATCATCAGGCTCTTCTTGTGCCCCCTCATCTTCTCCCCCCGTGCCACTTTCACTTTCCAAAACACACTTTGTAGCATAGAAGTCCCCCTCCCAGAAGGCACAACACTCGAAGAAACTGAACCAACGCATTAATTTCACAAGTGGTCCTTTTGTTACACAATTTTGAATGGCCCCCAAGGAGTTCAGAAGGTCCACTCTGTCACCTTCATCTGTTGGCTGCACCATTCTCCTTTCCAAGCTGATTAAAGGCTCAAAAGTGTTCCAGTGGTTGGAGCTAATGGTGGTGGAACTGAGGAATTCCTCCAGTGCTGCTCTCTTCCTAAACCACCATTGTGATGAAGTCCAGGGCCCATAATTTGTGTTGAATAGGCATGTCAACTCAAGGATGGTTCTGTACCTTTTTGACCTTTTGGCTGCTGTTTTGATGTCATTCCAACCCCTGTGGTAGGGGTCCCAAGGGCATACACACAGGTGTGCATGCTGGGAATACATCATAAAGTTCAAGCTGGTGACATTCAGGGGGCCCTGGTCTGACAGGGTCACCAAGACCTTCAACTCTGACAAGTTGATGGTTGGACCCACTTCTCTCTTCACCTCAGAAGCCTTGGTGTCTACAATGTATACATGTCCATCATCTGCCCTCAGCCTCACCTGTGTGGGCTTCAAAGGTTGCAGCAACAGGCCCTCTGGGACTGCAAAGTCCTTGATGCCTACCCCCAAAGAATGCACAAGCATTGCATCCAGCCCCCTCAGCTCATTAAAGCCACTTATCCTGGTGAGTTTCCTTTGCTTGGCTTTCTGAACCAAACTGTCATCAATCTCAGAGACCATAAGTTTCCCCAAAGTTTGGTTGAGGAGATACCCAGCTTTGTTTGCTGGTGCATTGTATGCCACTCCAGCACTGATCTGCTTTCCATCATAGTTGCCTGGGTCAAACGATATACTCAGCTGCAAAGGCTGAACTGGGAACTCTGACAGCAAAGACCTGGCATGAAGTACACAGTCTAAGTAATGTTCATGCCTGGCCCAAGGCGATTGGAGTGGCTGGAGGTCATGAGTTTTAGATACTCTTCTTCTGTGAACCTTCTCATCTTGAAGCTTCTTCAACAGGATCATCCTGTTTACTGGGTCCATGGTTTTGCACACATTGCCATATCTTGTTTTGAGGGCTGGTAGTGCACTCAATTCAAGATTTGCCAACTCAGTGGCTATGTCATCCAACCAGTGACCACATAGGTTCACCAGTGTTGGCAACATCAACTTTCCACAGCAAAGCCACATATTTTGCTGTCCCATATGGAGAGTTGGGTGTGCTGCCAAGTACCCAACAAAGAAAAGCAAGTCTGAGAATGAAGCCAAGTCTATGGCAGTTGAAATGCAATACCCATGCCACACTACCCCTCTCAATTTCTTCCACATTGCTCTGGCTCCAGGGCAGTGCTCCCACAGCCTGTCTAACCCTTTCACAAAGTGTGGAGCCACCAGCTCAAGGCATTCATAGTGGGCAACCCCCTCAAGGTCAACCACCATACCATCCATCTTGGAGCCAGACCTGATGCCTTGTTCCAAGGCCTTTGCCCCCAGCTTCTGGAGCAAGCTGAAAGCCTTGAGCTTCACAGGCTCCCTGATTGGTTTGTTTGTCAGGGTCCAGAAACAAAGGCCCACCAATGCCCTGGATTCCAGTGTGTGGTCTTTCCACTGTCTACCTGCCTGCAATGTTTTGCCACTGGTGTATCTGACTTCTAGGGGGTCCACCTGGGCCTCTTGTTGTAAGAAGTCTCTCAATCCTTTCAAACTGCTTTTGAGAAACTTGAAGCTGTCAGTCTGTACACCCAAGAATTCATGGATCCTTCCCCACAACCATTCAGGCAAACCATCCTCTTCCCTCAAATATGCTCTCTGGCCAAGCTCTTGAATGGTAGCCACTTTCCAGGGCATTTGAAAGGCAGCATCTCTGTCTTCAGCCTGAGCTGGTTCCTCCTCTGCCATCACCACATCCATTGCCCACAATGACCAAAATGGTCTTGAAGTCTCAAATGGTAAGTACAGCACATGCTCCCCTACCATGCTCCCCTACCATGCTCCCCTACCATGAACTCTTACCTTCCAATTCATTCAGTCAATTCACACTTCCTATTTTGTATCTTGCTGCACTGCTTGTCCCCACTCAGCTTCAAACCCCATTAGGCCCCACTTAGTCATTGCACACTTTGAAGCTTTCTCAGCTGTCTCTTTTATCTATCTCTTTGAGCTTGATGCTCTTGATCACCTATGTGTGGCATTCATCTGATGTCACACACTGTGTGACTGGTTGTGGCTCTGGCCCACCAGCCTACAGACCTCTCCAATAGGCACCATGTCCTGCAGCCAGGACAGCATGCAACCACAAATCAACAAATGTCAACAACTCACAAACACATCCTCCTTCTTTTCTGTTGCATCTGCCTGTTGTTACAGGACAATGGTTCAATTGGTTCAGATCCTGGCAACCACTTCACTCTGAGTGCACCCATGGCCTCTCCACCATTGCCAATGGCATTGGGCCCTGCCTATCCAACAAGACAGAAATCAGAAACACTTGTGTTTGGCTGATCAGGAATTGCTAACTGTGTGTAACTGGATACATGGCCTGGGAATCACACTCAGGCTCAGGTGTTGAAAATTCTGCCTAGCCAGCCCATGCACATTTGATGCTCTCTCCTGCACACTTCACACAGTCAGGCCTCCTGCAGTGAGGACTGCTCATCATCTTCATCAGGCTCTGGGAGCCCTTCAAATTCACAGTCAGACTCCTCCTCACATTCAGGGTCATGTGGCAACACATCTCATGAGTCATGGGCACTGGCTTCACACACACTCACCAACTGCTCTCAGCTGAGTATCCAGAACTGCTTGGGTAAGGATTTGAGCAAGCTTGATCCTCTTATGCAAAGGGAAGAGCTTCACAATCTCCTGGACACATAAACCAAATATCTGGCTTGCACTCAGAATGAGCATTTGATTGAAACAGCAAAAGGTGGCAAGGCTCCTCCTCAGACTCCAATGCTCCACCAATGAGCCTCTGCACCACCTGCTTTGCCTTGTAGTTGATGGTGGGGTCCTCCAGCTCTGGCACAACCTGCCCACCACTTGGCCCTGGCAGTGGCAGTGTCCTCTTGGTGCCCCTCCTTGCTGCAGCTGCAGCTGAGGAGGGTGTGTGCTGCCCTCTGAACTGCCATTTGCCCACTGGCCACCCATAGGCACACTGGTCATACTTCCTGTCATCCATGGGGTTACCAGGTGCCCTTTCATCCAACACACTCCTTGGTGTGCATGAACTGCCAGCAACATGATTAGGAGGTGCTTCATGTTGAGTCATCAACATGCAACATGTGATTCACAACATTTCCATTCCATGGCACAGTGCCAGCCCAGGCTCATGCGACCCTGGTGGCCATACCCACTAGCCCATACAGAATTCACAGTCCACTGTTGTGCTTGCAATGGCTTGGTGGGATCAAAGGTCCACTCATACTTGGCACTCAGCAAGACATCTGGCACAGCCTTGGCCACAGTTCCCAGTAGTGACACTCATCTCATTGCATCTTGTTTTTTGGTTGGTCTGTGTTTTGGTTTTGTGTTTACATCCTACCAGCTAAACAAAGCTAAGAAAAGCTAAGAAAAGCTAACTTTTTCCCTGTTTTGGGGAATGCCTCCTGCCACCAGACAACAACTTACAATAGTAAAGGAAACGCTGCCCTTTTTTTTCTAGCTTCATTTCTTCCAGATTGTTTCCAAACGTTTTCCTTGTTTTGGGCCTTGCCTCCTGGCCCCACTTTGTTGTTGATTACCTTGTTTTCCAGCTTTTGGGCAGCCCTCCCCAGAGTATCAATGTTTTTTGGTGTTTACATTATTCATTCATATGGCAATGACAGCCATGGCAAGTGGCCACATCCATCTGTGCAGCCACCTCAGGGGCAAACTCTGTTTTTGACTTTCATGAGACCATTGCATACAACTGGGCCCAGAATGAACTGAAAGATTGCAGCCTCTTCAGCTTGGGACCAGAAGTTAGCTCCCATCTTCACCCTCTCCAGGTGGTATGCTTTCTGGAGACTAGCCTTGCATCTTTTACCAGTGGCAGTGGACCACTACCACTGAACTGAAAGTGCAATCACAAATGCAAACACACACACACAGAGTGTAATAGGCTAGCAGCAGTCATGTCAGATCTGGTTCTCTTGCTTCTCCCACCTAGACCTGATCCCTGATCCTACAGGGTCCTGAGCCACCCTAAACTATTGGTGTCACACCTCAGCCACTCCACTTGCAGCATTGCACACATTTGACAAAGCAACAACCACATCACATATGAAGTCCACTGCACACTATTTTAGCAATTGTAGTTCCAGGTCCAGTTTACCCAGGCCTGCCCTCACTAGGATCACAGCCACCAGCCCAAGGCATTCATATGGAACAAGAACACTGCTGATAAACTCAGAAATGTAACACAACACATCTGATGTTCAGAACCATGCCTGCTGGCAGCTGATTTGAAAAGTTCTTACACACCCCTGCCTACAGGGAGCACGATTTAGCCACAGCCCAAGCATCATCAGCATAATAGATGCATAGATCATTACTTGTCCTGCCACTTCCAAATGGGCTGCTGCCCTCACTGCTGCCCACACCAAATTACTCAACAATGCATGTCGTCACCATCATTGCCACCAGCCTTGCTTGCTGCCTCCCAAGTGGTGGCACAGGTGACAGACTTCACATTTCACAAGCACACAGAACCTCACCATCACACAGTTCACCCACTTCACAACCACACCCCAGCACTCCTTGGCTGCTGCAGTGCTTTGATTCTTCTCCTTCTGCTCCTTCTGCATCTGTGCAGCTTTTGCCAGTAGCTGATGCTTGAATAGCTCACCTCAGATGCACTCAAGCACCACTGACAATTCTTACCCAGGGTCAGCTCACCCTCCACACACATACATCTTTCACACAACCCACCATCACCCTCCAAACACAATGACAAACAAAAACACATTCCACATTCTATGTGCATGCCAAGCCACCAATATGTTCATTGGTGCTTGTTATTGCCTCCAGCTGTTGTTGCCCTTGCCCTTGCTGGCCTGCCTGTTGTTCCCCTGCCCCTTGCTGCTGGCCTGCCTGTTGTCCTTGCTGGCCTTCCTGTTGTTCCCCTGCCCCTTGCTGGCCTTGTCCTTGCTGGCCTGCCTGTTGTTCCCCTGCCCCTTGCTGGCCTTGCTGGCATGGCTGTTGTTGCACTGACCCTTGCTGGCCTGGCTGTTGTTGCCCTGGCCCTTGCTCTGGTTGCA